TTTGTTAGAATGGCTGCTTATCAACAAGACAGGTAATAACAAGTGTTGGAGAGGTTGTGGAGAAAAAGGAACTTTCATTCATTGCTGGTGGGAACGTAGACTGGTATAGCTACTATGGAAAACAATATGGCAGTTCCTCAAAAAATCAAGAATGGAGTTACCATATGACCCAGCAATCTCTCTTCTGAGTATCTACCTGAAAAACTTGGAAACATTTTATTCACAAAGATATATGCATTTCTACGTTTATTGCACCATTATTCACAGTGGCCAAGACATGGCGACAATCCTTCAATAGTGGATTGGATAAAGAAGATGTGGTACATATATGCTATGAAATACTACTCAGCCATAAGAAAAGATGAAGTACTGCCATTTGTGACAATGTGGATGGCTCTTGAGAATATCATGCTAAGCGAAGTAAGTTAGAAAAAACTAAGAGCATATGATTTCACTCATGTGGGATATAAAACTGAACCTCATAAACTCAGACAAGACATAGGTGGTTACCAGAGGGAAGGAGGGTAGTAAGGCTAAAGGGGGCAAATACATGTAGATGGACGATTTGGCTTTGGGTCGAGGGCACACAATGCATTGTTCAGATTATGTATCATAGAACTGTATGTGTGAAACCCATATGGTCTTATTAATCACTGTCACACCAATAAATTTAATAAAAGCAATTAAAAAGTTAAAATATTGTCTATATGTTCATAATTAATGTACCAATATATTAAAATACTATTAAAATCTTAAAAATATTTTACTCTTAATGAAAATAATTTGAGAGGGTCTTGGAGTCCACAGGGGTCTGCAGATCACATTTTGAGAATTGCTGGTATAAGTACCATTTTATATAAGCACATTTATGCAATTTTATGTTGCCGCCTTTGTTTTCTTACAATGATCATTTATGAAGGTTTGAATATAACAGAAACCAGTCTGTTTCTTGATAATATAATCAGTGAGTCTTTCAGCTTTTAAAAAGTCTTTGATTTGAAAAAAGAGAGCCTAGAAATATTTGATAATTAGATTTATAAAAAAGTTTATTCTCATTTGTGTTGCTCTATTGCATTTTGAAAGTATAACTATAGAGTGAACAAATCTGCAGTTGGATTACTGGGTATAGTTATGGTCTCTTGAAATTATAGGATGTTAATATAATTGATAAATATTTATGATGACAGTTTTAAAAGTTTTCATATTCTTGAATGGCTCCCCACAACTTGAGAGGGCATGTGTTTGGAAATGAGGTCCAGTACTTGATTTCTTGTTTGTCTGCATTAACTTTGTAGATGTGTGTAATAGTGTGATTTAAAATAAGAAATATATATTTGTTCTTCCTCTTGTTTTTTGCTTGGGATATCGTAAGTGGTAAGAATTGATAAAAGTGGCTTGTTTATCCACACCTTAGTTTATGTTACTGAGTTGACTCTTAGAAAGACTCTAAGGATGGAGCTGGTTAGTGTTGATTAGTGTTGAAACTTTCAGTCTCCCTCCCACTGGAGAGGGCTGTAGATTGAATCAATTGCCAGTGGCCAATGATTAATCAATCACACATATGAAATGAAGTCTCCATAAAATTGCAAAGGGACAGGGTTCAGAGAGCTTTTGGATTTGTGCAAATTATGGAGGTGCAGAGAGAGGGCTCTTCCCACACACCTTGCCCTGTGTATCTCTTCCACTGGCTGTGCCCGAGTGTGTCCTTTTATAATAAACTGGTAATCTAGTAAGTGAATGTTTTCCTGAGTTTTCTGGGTGCCTCTAGCAAATTAATCAAACCTGAGGATGGAAGGGGTTTCTGATTTCTAGTTAATTGATTAGAAGAAGCATAGATGACAACCTGGACTTTCTGTTGACATCTGAAGAGGTGAAGGCAATCTTGATGGATCGAGTCTTTAACCTGTGGGATCTGATGCTGTTTCCAGGTAGAAGGTGCCAGAATTGAGTTGAACTGTAGGACAGTCACTGATGATACAGAATTGCTTGATCTTTAAAAACCACATTCTGGTGTCAGAAATGCAGTAGTGCTGTATAGTGAGTATTGCGGAGGGCATGTTTCTTTAATAGTGTGTGTATGCCTATTTTTTTTTCTTTCTTTCTGATGACTGTTTCTCTGGGCACAATGAAAACAATCTTTGCTTTACTGAAAACTCAGGAAACTTTGCTACAAACACTTGCACTCCTGTGATTGACCACTAGGTGTCATGAGTGCCATGGTAGCCCTAAGGGTTACCCCATGGCCGTAGAAATCGGACATTGTAAGCTTGTAGATCTTCACATATTTCACTGTTTCCACATGATAGATGCCAGAAGAACCTGATACAGTGTGATATATGGAAGCAAGGTACAACTGGAATAATGAAATTTCAAAAATAAGCTTTTTTAAAGGAGGCTTGTAGTAGTTCTATTGGGTATTGTAAATGCTTCAGGTGCACTTTATACCACTATGTTCCTGGCTCTCTCTTTTTTATGGAAAGATGGATTGAACTTCAATTTAAGAATATTCGGTAATTCCTCTCAGGACATACTGTAACAGCTGGTATTTTTGTGTTGTAGGAAATCGATTCCATACAACAGTCAGTGATAATTATGGCCGGGTTCTGACAAATTCCAATGCCTTTTTAATAAATTTAGCTAAAAAACTAAAAACATGATTACTACAAAAATTTAGCTCAATTTGAAAGTTAAAGCTAGGAACTCTGCTTTATTTTACAAAATAATGAGCATTTTAGTTGTAGGGATAAACTCTTTTTTATTACACTTATATATGTTCTAAGAAGATAATTACTTTGTAGCTTATTTTTCTTAAATAATATAACCTTGGAAAAATTTAACCTTGAGTGCTCATTATGAAATAAAAAATGAGAAACGCTGAGGCTTTTCATATACGGTATATATATATACAGCAGCAATATCAACTCAGAAGGTTGTTTTGGTGTGGATGTCTTAGTATTAATAGAATGTTTGTTTGATATAAGCATAAGTTTTCTTATATGGTATTTGTGGTTTATAAAAGTGAAACATTATAAGTTTTCTAAAGCCTGAAGAAAGTGGTAATTTGCATGGTATATGCATTTCTGTAGAATCAATCTGTACCATATAAATTATAACTTTCCTCATGGCATAACTAGCTTAAATTACATACATATAGACACACATGCAATAACTGCCTACCCACATACATACATAAATATTGCCCTAATTGTAGAAATGTGTGTGCATGCGCTTTGCAAATTCTAATCATCTCCTTTTTCTCAGCAACAAAACAAAAGTCTGCTAATTGAATGCATTCTTTAAATTATGTATGGTTTGTTTTTGACTCTTGTGTTTGAATTTAGGAACATTGTATGTAGTTGAATCTTAATCCTGATTGTTAGAATAATTTCTACAAAGCAAAGTAAAATTATTGGGGAAAACCGCTTTAGAGATGGCCCTTAATTAAACTTTGTCTTTTTCTCTCTTATTTTTTAATTTTTAGCTTAGTGATGTATATTTTTATTTGGTATTTAAGATAATTGTCCTCATATTTTTAATTAACGCTCCTCTTCATATGGATTTATATGCATATTTTGACTCTGTCAACCTTTGTAATAATAGAAAACAAAATTCAAGACATTGCACCAGATAGTCTGGTCTAATGTAGTCTGTTTGATGGTAAATTTTTTCCTACGAACATTCACTTTGATAATTAAAAAGCTAATTTAGAAGGCTTTCATAGGATTTTACAGTTTGGACTTTTTCCAGTGAAATTTGGCAAGCTCATTTATTATTCTGTAATATGAATCATCAATTTAAGGCTTTAGAATTGAAGTGAGGCAAATTTTGGGGTGTTTACAGTGTCTGTTTTTTATTTTAATATATGTTAAAATATACTTTTAAATTACTGAATTTGCTTTATAGAGAACTGGGGAAAATCCATTAAAAAAAGAACTTAAACACATTGTTTAGTTTTTCTGATTTCTAAAAAATGTAAATGCAGTGTATTTTCTGTTATTAGGCAGCAGTGGTCTAAATTTAAAACACATGGTCTCCTTCTAGGTGTCAGGACAATGTGAATTTTAATCTTCTTTCTTTTATGTTTACATTTTATAATCTAATTAAACAACTTCAGTCATAATAGCTAGCATTTATTGTTTGCTTGCCATGTGCCAGATGCTGTGTTGTGTGTCTTATCATATTAGTTATTAAACAGTTTTCAATTGTTATCTTCACTTGTCTACAAGGAGTTTAAGGCTTTAATACAATTGATTAACTTGTCCCAGATCACAGAGCTCGCAGGATTAGAGCTTAGGCCAAACATTAGAGTAATTGCTCTTAGCTACTATATGCAGTATGTTTACTATTTATTTTGGGGTAAACATTACTTAAAATAGTTATTGAAAAATAATTGTTATTTCCCAAGATATACCAAAGCTTACTTTGTATTAAAAGAATTTACTTTTGTATACTAGCTTGGATTGTTAGGTTTACTTTAGATTATTAACACTTCTATAAACCTATAATAACATCTTGCTTCAATTCTAGTATTCTTGCAAAGGTTATTTGCAGGTTAGAGATCTTTGCAGCTGTGATATTAGAAAGTGCTCTTGTTTTAAAAATTACAATTAGTTATAAGTTGTTGATAATTTATAGTCTCTGTTCTACTTGAGAAATATAACTTTGAATTATGATCAACGGAGGGAAGACATTTTTGAATGGCATTGGCTTACAAAAACGCCTTTACATTCTCCATCTATGCATTTAGCTGTCCTCAAACTAACCGTAAAAATCTTTTAAGGAAGTCTTGATACACCCATGAAGATCTTTCATATTTTTAATTAGAAATTTTACAGCAAAATAAAGAACTCTCACACTTAATATTTGTATGTAGCGTGTAGAAAACATTCTGAAGGATTGTGATCTCTGGTAGTGTGTTGGAATACGACTTAGTTACAGAATGTTGCAATTGAGTAATCTTTTTTTTTATTATTATTTTAAACTGTTCCTTTTCTTTGTAGAAACGGCCTGTGCGATACATAAATCTTGGTAGACAGCGTGGCCGCAGGCTGTGGAGCTGGAATTCCCTGCGGCTTTCTGAGCCCGGACGCCTGTTTGGAGGCTGCGTCCAGCCTGCAGTCTGCATCATGCCAGCGTTGTCAGCAGGATCTGGTAGTGACACAGGTATGTGACCCGAGAGGGGCAGTTTCCTTCCACCTTTACTTAAATCTTCTTGTTCACAGTGAAAAGAGCATTGCTTTAAGCAAATGCAAACAGGTCATGCTTGTTGTTCTGCAGCCACGACAAAGGACGTAGAATCAGTGTATCCTTCCAAGGGCATTGACTGCTGCTTCCTCCAGGTGGTGGTGGCTTATGCTGATCTCCTCTGACTTTCTTTTGGAAGAATGTTTTTTATTTAAATTTCTTTAAAAAAATTAAGTATTTTAAACATAAAGAAAAGTGTGGTAAACACAATAGTCACCCACTACCTGTGGAGGACATGTTCCAAGACCCCCCAGTGGATGCCTGAAGCCGCAGACAGTACCAAACCCTGTATGTACTGTTTTTCCTTATACATATATACCTGTAATAAAGTTTAATTCATAATTAGGCACAGTAGGAGTTAAACAACAATTACTACTGATAAAATAGAACAGTTATAGCGATACACTGGAATAAAAGTTATGTGCATGTGGCATTATTAAGTAAAATAAAGGGGACTTGGTCACACGCACTGGGAGACTGTGACAGTCTCTCTGATAACTGAGCTGGCTACTAAGCGACTGATAGTTGGGGAGCGTGTACAGTGTGGAGACGGCGGACAGGGGACGATTCATGTTCGGGCAGGACAGAGAGGATGGCACAGGATTTCATTATGATACCCAGAACAGCAGGCAGTTTAAAACTTACGAATTGTTGATTTCTGGAATTTTTCATTTAATATTTTTGGACCACGGTTGACTGCAGAAAGTGAAACCACGGATAAGCGGGAGACTACTGTCCGGTGATACTCATATTAATCTTCACTCAGAGTTAGTAACAGATATAAACTTTTTGCCATACTTGCTTCAGACTTCTCACTCTTTTCTTTAAGAGATAAAACATTATCCCTACCCCATTCTTGCATTTTCTTTCTTTCCGTGACCAGAGGTAAAAACTATTCTGAAGTTCAAATATGTCATTAAGGGATTTAATTAAAACAAATAGACATATTTCACTTTATTATCAGTGACATCGTGATACTTAGAATAAAGATTTCCAAGAAAGGGAAAAAACTCATGCTTATATGTCTGTGTGAAATCCCCTCCTTCTGTCCTGATTCTTTGGGAGGTGAGGGTGGTCAATGCCCTTTTGAGGTCCTTTTCTGGGACTCCCCAGAATCAGCTCTTTTAAAAAAGGCAGACTCCTAGAGCTATTAGGACACCATGTGGGTAGGCTGGGGAGCTATGCATGTGTTTTAAAAACCCCTCAAAAGAAGTGGTGTCATAGAGTGTGACGAAAAAGAAAGTTCTGTGTTGCACTGAACATACTGAACTCAGTTCTGTTAATACCATTCTGTAACCAGGTGAAATAGCCATCTTCCACTGGGCAGTCACTGGCACCATAATATTTATAAAGCCGAGTCACAAGTGTGATTTTTTGTTGTATTATGTTACATTAGCATTTTCATTTACACTGTTTGAAAATATCATTCTTTGCTATTTCAAGCATATTTACATTTAGATTTGGGCAAGTTTTGTCTCATCTTTATCCATCAAGAATAATTTTTTCTACTGTGATTTACTCTGAGGATTAGTTTTTCTTAGGAAGTAATTTTGATTTTTACATTACGTAAAAATCTTTTTCTCAGGACATAACTTGGAAGCCAGCTTTTTTGGAAAATTCTTTCTTTTCGTTTTTATGTAGTCCTGAATTATGTGGTACTATACAAAATTAATGATTTAGCTTTTCATAGTGGTTTGGGAAATTATATTTAACATATATGTGAATCATAAATTTACTATAGTTGTGTAATGAATTTAAGTTTTATGCCCTGGTATTCACCAAAAATGCCTTAATTTATTGAATGCAAAATAGTGTTGCTTACATTTACAAAATAGTGTTGCTCACATTTAACATTTAATGGTTAAAATGGAGTATTTGTAATTTATAAGGCAGTTTGGGTGTCAGTCCTGAAAAAGAACATAGACAATTTAGAATTTGAAAAGGACATTTCCACACATAGCTGGCTCACTTGGTGCAGATTTAAAATGCCGACGTGACTCACCCTTGGCTTTGTGACATTTTTGACCTGCGTGTCCCAACAGGGTTTGAGTCAGGCAGAAAAGATGTGCCTGTTCCAAGAGACACTACATTTAGAGAAGCCCAGGGTACGGTGTACCCATCAGATGGTAATGGTTTCCTCGTAGTTTCTCACAGACCAGAGGCTGTTTAGCAGTCAGGGGTGATGTATACCATAAACAGTGTTGCTTAGCAATGTTGTTGCTGTTCCCATTATCAGGTCTCCAGGGGAACAGCAGTAGAGAGCATGACGCAAGGACGGATGCTCACATAGCCAGACAACGGCACCTGACTAGCAGTGCACACACTATTCGTGCAAACAGCTCTCAACGTAAAACGTCTGCCACTTCTCCCTCTTCTTTCCACTAAGCAAAACAATTTTGAGTTCCACAAGTAATACATAAAAACATTCTCACTGTCAAAGGTACCTAGATAAAAAGGAAAGGAATGATTACTTCCCACCCTTTCCCTGGTTTCATTTTCTAGCTCAGCATTAGGGGCATTCTTTAAGAATTTTCTGTACATTAGACACTGATGTATGTACATACGTATATTGTTTTATGTATTTTCTCTTTATTTTTAAATCACAGATTCTATCATACTCTATGGCTCGTTCTGTAACTTTCTTTCTATACCAAGTAATGTTTTTTGGAGAGGTATTTCATGGGAGGGGTGTGTATCTGTGTATCTTTCTATCTAGGTATCTGTCTTTCCATTCATCTGCCTCATTCTTTTAAGCTAATCCGTTGTTTTTCGTAGTATCACAATATAGTGAACCAGAATACTGTTAATGAAAATCCTGGTTTTGGTTCTTTTGTAATATTTTGGGAGAAAAGATGTGCACATTTAGTGGATGTTGTCAAATTGTTTTGCAGGGTGCTTAAACCACTTAATCCATGGACAGTGCATTAATAATCCTTTCCTCTTACCCAGCCGGTGTGGCTCAGTGAATTGAGTGTCATCTCATGTACTGAGAGGTCTCTGGTTTGATCCCGGTCAGGGCACATGCCCAGGTTTCAGGCTCGGTCCTCAGTATAGGGCGTGCAGGAGGCAGCCGATCAATATTTCTCTTTCATCAATATTTCTATCTCTTACCCTCTCCTTTCTTCTCTAAAAAAATCAATTAAAAAAGACTTTTCTCCCACATTCTTGCCAATATTCAATGCTATCAGCTTTTATAATTTTTCCCCATTTATCTATTGGTTTATCATTTTCTTTTTTTATCTTCACCCGAGGACAATTATTTTTTGCATTTATCTTCAGATAGAGTGGGAGAGAGAAAGGAAGAGAGAGAGAGAAACAATGACGCAAGAGGGACACATCGAGTGGTTTCCATCCACACGACCCCAACTGGGGTCGGGGACAAACCACAACTGAGGTACGTGCCCTTGGCGAGAACCGAACCCGGGACTCTCTGGTCTGAGGGCTGATGCTCTAACCGCTGAGTCAAACCGGCCAGGGCATCATTTTCTTTTTTTGTTTGTTTTTGTTAATCCTGACTTGAGGATACTACTTCCATTGATTTTTAGAGAGAGTGGAAGGGAAGGTGGGAGGGGAGGAGAGGAGAGAGAGAGAGGGAAAAAACATCAATGAGAGAAAGACACACAGATTGTCTGCTTCCTGCATGCGCCCTAACCAGGGCCAGGGATCAAACCTGCAACCCAGGTACGTGCCCTTGACTGGAATTGAGCTGTGTATCTTTGGTCTGCGGGAGATGCTCCAACCACTGAGCCAAACCAGCCAGAGCTGATTTATCATTTTCTTATTTATTTGCAGAATTTCTTTATTTGTAATTTGTATATTAATCCTTTTGTTCATTTTAGATTCAACACCATTTCTTATAGCCAGTCATTTTCAATTTTTTCCCCCTCATCTGAGGATACTTTCCTATTTATCATCAGAAAGAGTGGGAGGGAGGGAGGGGGGGGAGAGAGAGAGAGAGAGAGAGAGAGAGAGAGAGAGAGAGAAACAGAAACATCAATGCAATAGAGCCACATTGACTGGCTGCTTCCTGCACCACCAGACCAGGGCCAGGGACAAACTGCGACCATGGTACATGCCCTAGACAGAATCAAACCCGCGACTCATTGGTCTTCAGGCCGATGCTCTAACTGCCAAACCAAACCAGCCAGGGCTGTCTTTTTTTCCTAAATAGTATAATTTCTTTTGTAGAAGTTGAAAACTTATGTAGACAAATCAATCTTTTCTATATAGTTAATGCTTTTTTTCTTTCGTTAAGACGGCCTTTCTTTCCATGAAGATAATCACTAAGTTTTTCTTATAATAATTAAAAAAATTTGGATTTGCACATTTGGAATTTTAGTCCAACTGTACTTTGTATGTGATGTGAGGCAGTAATTTAATTTTGCATGTGAGCAGCCAATGGTCCCAGCATCACTTATTCAAAAGCCCATCCTTTTGACATAAATTTGTAATAGTCCTTGTTTCGTATACCAGCAGTATGTACGTTTTGAGTTTTCTTTCTTGGCTATTGTGATCTGTTCTTATTTAGGAAAAAAAAAAGAATTTAATGGACTTTAGTTTTTAGACTTACAGAAAGTTATGGAGATAGTACAGAGAGTTTCAGTATACCTTATATCTCGTTTCCATGATTATTAACATCTTATCTTAGTTTGTTACAGTCATTTCAATTAATAAATCCATGTTGATACATTGTTATTAACTGAAATCTATTCATATTTCTTAGTTTTCCCTAATATCCATTTTTTTTTCTAGAATCTCTTATTACATTTAGTCGTGATTGTCTCATTATGTTCCTGTGGCTGTGAAGGTTTCTCAGGCTTCCCTTGTTTTTGATGGCTGGCCATTTCCAGGAGTCCCGCTCAGGTGTGTTGTAGAATTTCCCTGTATTGGAATTTGTCTGATGTAAAGTGCCACTGTCA